ATATATATATATATATATATATATATATATATATATATATATATATAGAGAGAGAGAGAGAGAGAGAGAGAGAGAGAGAGAGAGAGAGAGAATTTCAGTCTTATCCATAAAACAAAATGTTCTCTGCCTTTTTGGAGATACCCATGAAAACAAAGACAGAAAAACAATCCGTTAGATGAGATCAAAATAACTGGAGGCTTGCAGGGGTGTAAGCTGCCTCCTGCCTTGGAGCAGCTCGGTTTCACAGGCATGGCCACAGCCGCTTACAGCCGCGGAGACTGATGGGGGCACAGTGGGGCTGAGTGAGGCCAGGGCCAGACCTCAGCACGCTGTCCTGAGTGGATTTAATAATCTAGGCTTAATCAAAGCAACGTTTGGACTTGGAAATGACCCTTCTTGGCTGTGGGAGTTAGGTACTTCACGCAGTGGAAATGTAGCTTGCTTCCTTGTTTCTTAGCCTTCAAGAGGAGCAGGTGGAGCGAGAGCGAGACCAACCGTTTCCTGGTTTCCCTATTTCTTCTATTCCTTCCTAAGACCAGACTCATTGGGACCTCAGTTTTGAGGATTCACACGAACCAATAGAGAAAGCGGCTCAGACAGAAAAGTACAAAATTCGAGAAGATCGGAGATGAAGAAAACGTACAAAATTATATATATATTTATATATATAATAACATGACATATCTATGTACAACATGGCTGGGACAGTTGAGGAACCTATACAAGGATACTCGTCACCTTCCCCTCCCCACATGGACTTTAGACTAAGGAAGACAGCATGAGGAAATGGAGCAAGAAACACAGAAATTATATACAATTACAGGTGACACTCAAGGGGTCTGGGGGCCAGGGAACCCAGGGGTCCTGCTCTCTCCATTCCTTCCTCACCAACCTTCTCCTACCCTGTCTGAATGGCAGCCTGAAGCGTGGATGGCCAGTCGGGAGAGAAGCACACCCCTTCACCCCCCACCATGCACATCGGGGGTTTGGGCCCAGCGTGTGGCCCATCAGAACCTGTGAGGTGAGAGGGCACGAGAGGATTACAGAGTCTTGTTCTCTGGAGCAGTCAGCTCTCACCCTGGCCCTCCCTGTGGCAACGAGCAGGCTGCGCTCAGTAAGATTCAGGCCACGCTAGTGATCACTGACGGGGCTGGAGACGCCGGCCACCTACGACCCCTTTCCTCTGTCTGCCCCACCAGCCGTGAATCAGCACTGCTCCTTCTCATCACACGGGGGCTGGCTGCTGAGCTCTAGGAAGGCGGGGAGCGCCCAGTGTTCTCTCTCGCTCCCCATCCCCCTTCCTCCCAGGTGAATCATTTCCTAAGAACCTGCCGCTCCAGCTCCAGCTCCAGCTCCAGCCCCTGGTAGTACTAAGCCCCAGAGGCCAGCTCAGCTCTTTCCTTTTCTGCTTGTCTCCCTAACAACACACCTGGCATCTGATTACATCTAAACTGTGGGACTCCAGGTGCATGACTGAGCATGTCTCCTCAGGCCCACAGCGCAGCTGCCGCAGCCACCTGTTAGCAGCAAAGGCCCAGATTACAGGCCAGGAAAGCGGGTCAGGGCAGCAGCAAGAAGCTTCCAGGCTCACTTCTCAGAAGTTTTTTTCCCCCTTTTTTTCTTTTTTTTTATAGCTGAGCCATCCTGCCACCTGTTGGCAGCTCAGCGGCAGCTCAGCTCAGGCTGGGAATTGAACTGGTGACCCTGTTGCTCAGAGCTCGCACTCTTGAGTGAGCTCTTAACCAACTGAGCCACTTGGCCGGCCCTCAGAAGTTTTTTCTTGACCCTATGACCCTATGAAGCCCTCTTGCCTGAATTTATAACCCCCGAAATGTCCACTTCCTCTCTCGTCATGTAGTCTTCAGAGGGTTCCCTTCTCCAGGCTCACCCATGGACCTGCCTCACTTCTAACTTTATAATGAAGAGCAGTTTTTCAGGGGGCAGTTAAAGGATTTTAAAATCAGAATTTTATCCATATTCAACTCTATTTTACAGACAAGGAAATAAGAAATCCTGAGAGGTTAGATGACTTGACCAAGCTTACACCACACTTCTGCAGAGACTGAGCGGAACCAGAACCCAGGTTATCTTGCCTCCTAAACCAGTGCTCTTTCCACTAATCCACGACACTTTCAAAATGCTGGGAGAGAGACAGAAGGCGCCCATTTTGTGTGACTAATGTTCTCCAATCAGGGCAAACTGTAAGAGACACTGAATAAGGGAGGTTAAGTGGGCACTGTGGTTTCAGGCAAGCAAATCGGTTTTTCTTTTTGAGGATTCTCTAAACCTGCCATAATGGAGACATGAAGCAATAGCAGCCTACGGGACAAAACACTTAGAAGCACAGAAAACAGACTTCATTCAATCTCCCTTTCCCAAGGATGTCAGGTTAGCCTGGGGATGTTAAGCCAGCCACATTGTTCCCAAAGCTTAGCCTAACCAGTTTTGGGATATTCTCTACCGAAAGGAGAAATCACAGCGCCCCAGTTTCTCATCGGGAAGAAGAAGTCTCCTACGCCTGGGCCCCTGCCTGGGCTACAGTGATGGTGTAGAAATCTCAATTTAACCAAAGACATGAACTCAGAGCCCCTCTTCAACACACATCACATTCTCAGCAGCCCCCAGCAGAACCACAGTCACTTCTGGCTAGCAAGCTGAGAAGTTCTAACTAGGTGCCTGTTCCATCCCTGCCTATGATATATAAAAGTCCAGTGGGTGAGGAAGGGGAGGAGAAGGGGGGCCCAGGTTACCCCGCAAGCTTGCTGGTGACGAGCGAGGACTTTCTCTGGGGAAGATCCTGTGGGGTGGGGATGTGGTCACCGGTCACCAGGTTCTTGTCTGGTCCTGCACTTGGCAGCTGCTTATTCTTCATCTTGGCTTTGGCCATGTTGTAGTCTCCTGAGTCAAAGTACTTTTGCTAAGAGACAAGAGGGAGGGTTAGGTGAGTGAGGAGCACTGGCCTTCCTCACAAGCAAGGAGACCCACATCCATTACAAACCCTCCTCCATGCTCAGATCTTTCGCATCTTCCTTGATTAACTGCATGCATACATAGCTTAGCATTCGTTACATATACTTACATCTCCTCCAACAAATGTGTTCTGACTTTTTCAGGTATGTAAGCAGTTTCCCAGCTAGAGTACAGATTTTTTGGAGTTAAGAGATAACCCCTACATCCTTTGTAGCCTCATCAGTACACGATGGTTAAACAAAATTACTAACTTCAGGGTGACTGGTTAGCTCGGTTGGTTGGAGCGTGGTGCTGATAACACCAAGGTTGCCGGTTCGATCCCCACATGGGCCACTGTGAGCTGCGCCCTCCCTAAAAGAGTCAACTATGCCATTGTAGCATGAAAGCAACGTGTAACCAATGCCCATGGCTGCTCCCCAATAAAATAAAAAAATAAAAAAATTACTAACTTCATTTATAAAGGCTTACTAAGGACCTGTTAGTCTGCAGAGGGCTTGGTGCTGGGCAAACAGAAAGGGGTAAGATATATATTGTAGAAGGGTCAGTCTGGGGCGATCCAGCCATCAGCAGGAGACCAACCTCAAAACTGGGAACTGTTCTCCCAGACCACGAATAGAAACTGGGCTTGTTCAGGAGGATTATGGACTGTCCCTCTGGCTCCCACTGCTCCCACACATGTCCCATGGCTGTGACAGCCTGCCCACGCCTGCCTCGCCTACAGCAAGGTAAACTGCAAATCAGCATCACATCATCATCTGTGACTAAGCCTCAATCACTAGGATTCTCCACAGGGGCTGTTTCACTCTCCGTTTTATCCACACAGAAGAATACGCTCGAGTTCAATGACTTCTAATCCCTCAGTCAGCTTTAGGAACCTCTGGGGGCTGAGAAACCGGCTCAGGAGCTAGATGGCTATGAAGGCAGACTCTCTGTGGGGGAGGAGAACCACTTCGGACAGGAAAGATAAGTCTCCTGAGGGAGTAAATGGCTAGTGCTAACTTCAAGAGCCTGAAGAAATCTATTCATTTCAAGTTGAAGAAACCTGCAGGACACATGGTTTGATCTTCTTCTGAAACGATGTACCCCGAAATTTAGCGCTAATCCTAAAGAGTGCAATCCTAAAATTCCCACCATCCAAACAGGCGAATGCCTGGGGAGGTCAGCAGTTCAGTCTCTAACGTCTTCCCCCCACACCCCCAAGCTTCCACACCCCAACACTCCTACATTAGACCTTAATATCGTACATGGGACATCAGAAGATAACTGGTCCCATATCAGAGATTTACAATCATTTGCCTTGTTCTTTACGAGTTTTGAACTCGTCTCCACAGCTGCCCAGTGACAAGGGCAGCATTCAGTAGAGCCTCTACAGGGCCCATCCCCTTGGGCTCCACAGTAAGAGGGTAAGAGATCGTTCCCCGTACCCCTTTCTGGAGTCTTTTCATGAGGAAGTCGGAGCCTCCGGGCTTTTGTCCTAGGCTTGGATATTTGGCCTTTAGCTTTGCCTCCTCGGCTCTCTCAGGGAGAATACCTTCTTTCTCCTGCGTGTCCTGGAGGGAACAAATGGGCCAATACAATTAAAGACCGGGCAGACACTGCTTCTAATATTCGATAACCTTTACACTATCAACTTTCCTGACAATCCACCCGCAATGTAAACATGCTCTCTCCACCCTGCTCTTCAATAAAGCCAGACCTTTGTTCAAATCCCTAAAATTCAAGATGACTGTATTGCGAGAAGAAAAAGACAGGTGCTTTTCACACTACGTCCAGGGAACTACCTCGGTGACCTGTGAGAATTGGTTAAAAGGTAATAACTAAGCACAATACTTCAATCACAGAGTGAGCCATAGTTTACTCAGCACAGAAGCCAGGAAAGACAATGAGAGGAAAGGGCTTCTGGCGATACATGATGAGTAGGAAAGTTCCCAGGCTGTCCCTAACATGCAGTGCAGGTCAAATGGGAAAGCAAACGGGGTGATTGCTGAGACAGTCCCTTCTTATTCAGAGTCTAAGATAGTCATCAAGTCTCAGCCTTCTCCAAAGATCTCCACCTTAGTAATGGGACAACATTGCTTCAGCATTGCCATAAACACGTGGTAGGTAGGTGATAAACAGAGATGAAAATGACACTATTTTTAAGCTCAGGAAAATTAAGATACAGTAGGTTCACTAGTATTTACCTATAATTTTTGCCAAAAAGTCAACACCTTCCTGAGTGGGGGAAGTGATGGAAGTTTGGGGAACATATCAAGATCTCGACTGGCTTGCAGGGGCTCTCGCTGTTGTTACTCTCCTCTTGCTTTGAGTGGGCCCCACCACCCTTTTCTTTAGTGATTTTTTTTAAAAGGACCTAAAGCCAATCTGCGGCTCTTTTTAGTGGAATTACATTCCCTTCTCTTGGAAATCCGGCACTGATATAACACCAGGTGTATTTCATGAACCCCTGAGACCAGCACTGAATGTTCTAAGTCAAATACAAGCTCCAAGAAGAGGTGTATTTGGCGAGCTCTCATCACCGAATTGCGGGTGAACTAAGTCCCACTGCCTCGGAAGTCTGGGAGGGGGTGGAATAGGGTGGCGTCTTTCTTGTCACGACTCGCTCGGTGTCTTTTCTAGGTTTAACCTCCATTATTCTGAACGGAACTCTAGTCCTCTTGTCGGGTCCTTATTGAAGATGGGCATCAGACCATCCCCAACCGTTAAAATAGGTTTCTTGAGAAAGTTGCCGCCTTAAATTAGCCATAATTCCTCTTCTCCCTTCCCCCAATGCCAGTCCTTTCTAAACGTCTTTACCTAGACCTGTATCTTTCGGAAGATTTAGATTGCGGGCGCCAGCCTGGTTGATGGGTTATTTATTTATCCCTTATAACCAATAACACACAACGCATCCCAGGACCACCAGCCCCCTTTCATTCACCCAGTCTTTCCAAACACCCACCCCGCGCCCAAACTTGGCCAATTACAGCACAGCTCCAATGAGTTGAGCGGTAGGCCTATTGGCCAATCAGGAAGGGGACGGCACTGACTGACAATAGACTCAACTAACCAGCACCAAAGCAGCAAGCCCTGTTGAAGCTCACCCTGCGTGACGCAAACAGTGGCCAACCTCTGCAGAGCCTGAGACCATGGCGACCAATCCGCACTGGTGGGAGACCGTCTCCCGCCCCATCACGGTCGCCCCCGGCTCGCCCGCCCGCACCCCCTCCATTTCACCTGCTTCTCCTCGCCGGTCTCCTCCGCAGGGTTCTCCTCTTCTTGTTTCTGGGACATGGCGGGACCGGGGCTGTGGAGTGTAGGGGGCCCGGGAAGTCAACCGGAGAAGGGAAGGGGGAGGGGAAACGGGGACAACCTGAGCTGTTCCTTCGGCTCCTGTCACTAGGGTTGCTCAGTCAAAATGGCGGCCCTTGTCTGTGACTTTGCGACCGCCCCTTCTTATGAGAGCCAATAGGAGTGGGGTAGATGGGGCGATGACGTAACGATCTACCAATAGTCGGTGGCGAGAGGTGGGTTCTATGGAGATGACGGGCAAGTTGGAACACCAATTTGGAAAGAGAGTGAGACACAAGGACCAATTGAAAACCCGCGGAGGACGTTAGGGGGAGGCGCTGCTAGCTTTGGCATTTTTGCTCATTTGGTGGGATCAGACTTCCATCAGCTCCCACCGCCCGCGCCCGGGAGGCTGTTTTGGAGAGCGTAAGGATGTAAACCTTTCATTTTCAGGTGGAGAGGATTAAGCTTTGCGCAGTGTTAGCAGAAAATTACCGACCTCCAGAAAATAATTTGGAGGTCAGACTGGACTTGAAAGTGGTCTTCAACACGATTCCGGTGTGTCACTTGGTGTGGGGAACCGAGAGACTGAGTCCCCAACCCGAGTTGTCTTGCGGAACATAAATGGCTTACGTTCCATGATTTATCTCTTCTGTAGTGTTAGACTTGTTCAGGGTCATCCCATGGAGTAAGCTGCTTGAAACAGAGCACAGTTCTAGGTACATGGGAAACATTTCGTAAATGCAGTTATCACTAATTAACGTATCCTGAGTCACAGTCCAACGATATTTCTTGAGCATCTGTAGATGGTACTATATTAGTTTTACAGGGTTACATGTATAGTAAGGCAGTCTCTGCCCTTAGTTTAGTTTAGTGGGCGTATGGGGAGAGTTTTCACAGTGTGCCAGGGGGACCCTAAATCCTCAAGATTAAACAGACTCATCTTCCTGGAGTATTAAAAACGAACATTAATCTAATACTAATAACACTGCTAAATTTAGATTAAAATTTAATTTTCCAGGCAGCTTTTTGCAACAAGATAGCCTTGGCTACTTGTTTATTTTTCTATATAATTAGGTGCACTTTTAGAGGAAAAGTTTGAGAAGCACTGGAATACAGATTATCATACAAGACAAAATCTGGTGAGCATCGAAATAAAAGTGTGAATAAAGTGCTATCGGGGTTCAAAGGAAGGCTCATAGTTTAGGGTAAAAAAAAGGCTTTGTGATGGAAGTGGTATTTATTTCAAATACTTCTATTTATTTGAAATAGCTTTAAAGAACTTAGGTGTTTGCCAGGTAAAGATGAAGGAAAGAAGGGTATTCTGGGAAATGGGCATAATATGAAGGCTAGAAAAAAAGAACTAAGTCTAGAACATGGAGGCCTTTGAATGCCAGGATAAGGAACTTGTGAGTAATTTAATAATCCATGAGAGACATTCAAGGTTTTTAGGCAGAGAGTGGCAGATCAGAACTGCTCCTTAGGAAGATTAATTTGGTGGTAATAAACAAAAATAATTCAGGATTCCAAGCAGAAAGATACTAGACTAGAGGTGGGCCGTCTGCTCAGGAGTCCACTGCAATACTCTAGGTGGGAGATAAGTAGGATTTAAACTAGAAATGTGGTAGTTTAGAAAACAGTGAACCTAATTGAGAGAGTCTATGGCAGTGGAATCTACTAGATTAGCAGCTGACTGAATATAGGCAATGAGGAGGCCGTGTGCCTCACAGTGATTATTGGAGAAACAAATTCAAGAAGAGGAATTGTTTTGGGAATAAAACTGGGTGTAGACAGAAAACAAGGTGTTCCATTTTGGAAACATTGCCTTTTAAAAAGCCAGTGAGCCATTTATTTGGTGCAGATACCCAGGCAATGAAGACTTAGGATAAATGTCCTCCGAGTTTTCCTCCATATATGAAATTGTAGGGTTCTAGGAAATGTAGATCTGGAATTTGAGAGAAAAGTGTTAGCTAAATATGAATAAAATTTGCAGTTTACCTAAATATTAGTGAAGTTGTGGAAGTACATGGGATCAGCAAAGGAGAGAGTAGAAAAAAAGAAGTCCCAAAACAGAAACTTGGGGAAAAGTTGGCAAGGAACACAGAGACAAATGATCAGAGAGACAAATGATCAGAACCAGGAGAGAAGTGACAGAGAAGTGAAAGACAGAGGGGACAAAAGTTAATTGCAGGTGGTTAAAGAGTGAAGAGGTGGTAGCAATATTTAATGGTAAAGCAAAGAAATTGGGGCAATGAATTGAAGAGGAAGCAGCAAAGGGTTTTCTTTTTTGGATGGTAGGCAAGACTTAAGTATGTTTTCAGAAAAGGGGAAGGGATTAATGGACAGAGAAACTAAAATATATAATTATCTACTTTGAAGAGGAGATAATGACAAAAGTCGGAGGAGATCGTTAGATCAAGAGGGAGGTTGTCTTTGGCAACTGAAAGGAAGAGTGGAAGGGAGGGGACTGTACAGAGATTCTGAAGGGGCTAAACATTTAGGAAAGTCACATTGGATGGCCTTGCCTGCCTGCCTGCCTTCCTTCCTTTTTTCCTTCCTTCTTTCCTCTTTCTCTCCCCCCCCCACCCTGCCCTTTTGGCCTTGCTTTTCTGAGGTCTCTTTTTTGAGAACAAAGGATGATTGGGTGGGATAGAGGATCTAGGAAAAATGAGAGCAGAAACAGCACTATAAAAATACCAATAATTCAAAACAGCAAGGAATATAAGTATGAGTTTGTGGTAGTCCCAATCAGCATGGCTTTGTAACTTCAGTCAGTAACTCCTGGCCGCCTTGGAATGAAGAAAACAGCCAGCGTTCAATGGGGCAAACAACTGGTACAGAAGGAACAGTGGAGGGAGGACAATGAGGAAGTCTAGATGGGTTTGCCGGTTTGTTGAAATGGCTGACCATGGCATCCACGCTCTTTAGGAAAGACAGAATGAGACTGATGAACTGGGAGAACAGAAAAGAGTTGACGAACTGGTCATGAGACAGATGAAGCTCAGATTTGGTGGGAAAGACAGAGAGGTAGAAGAGTAGGAGGTTGCTGTGAGAGGGAGATTTCAGTCTGTATCTAGGAAGGTGGAAAAATTATAGGTTATGATGAGCTCTAACCTGGGATAATTACAATTGGTGGCAGATATGGCACGGCCATAAAAAGTCAGTGACAGTGATGTAATCAAGTAAATGTGAGGTCACAAATGTTGAAGTTCCAGAGCATAATGATAGGGAAGGTTAGGACAGGGTGACTGTGACCCATATATTGGGAGTGAGCTGTAAGTCTCTAACACATTTGGCCTTACATTGTGTAGGAACAACTACAATCTTAGGTAATGTATGTGTGTGACACCAAATGAGTTATATGTGCAAGTGTTGAAAAGGTCATTTCTGTTGTCTTTTTTTTTTAAAAGATCATTTCTGGCTGAGCTGGTCGAGGAATGTTTCAGGCAAGGTAGAACCTAAGCTAGGGCTATGAGGATAAATAGGAAGGTTGGAAATTGGCAGGGGGAGGGAGGAAAGGAAGATAATTTAGAGGGTCATGCTACCTTCTGAAAGGTTAGAAGGTAGGTGACCCCTGACTGAGGACAATGGAAAAGGGGGAGAGAAACTATAACAAGAGACCACCCCAGAGGGCGTGAGATCCTGCTGGCTCAGCAAGACTCCTCTTTCATCCAACAAACTTTATTGAGCACTCATTATGTACTAGGTATTGTGCCAAGGACCTCGGATGTGAAGATAAAGGACAGTGTCTATTTTCAACTTGTTCAGAGATGAATGAGGAGATGAGTGGTAAAGACAATTTACACTGGAGCAGGGAATTGAGGGCAGCTTCCTGGAGGAAATGACACTTGAAGGAAGTGTAGGAATATTCAAGGTAAAAAAAAGATGGCAGAGGAACTTTTTTTTACGCAGAAGGAGCCTTTTGTGAAAAGACATGGAACCAGAAGACACTCCGTACACTAGATCCTTGGTTCGCAAGCTTAGTTGATTAGTAGTTCCCCAGGGAGCTTTATAAAAATACAGATTTCCTTAGCCTTGTTTCACCCTAATTAAATCAGTATCTCTAGGCTGGGGACTGTGGATCTGTATTTTTGAAAAGCTCCCTAAGGAGAGCCAGAAGGCTGACCTGGGAACTTGTGTGGGGCAGTAAGACATGATGCTGTTCAGGCTGCTGGGGTCCCGAGGAGACCTGTCCATCATGCTAAAGTGTTGGGGTTTCATGAAGACAAACCGGGGAACTTCTGATTTCAAGCAGGGAAATGGTATTGTTAGATTTGGGATTTGGAAAGATCTCACTGTGGTAGCCATGTGGGGATTGAACTGGAGTGGAGAGGGAGACCAGCTGGACCCCTGTGACTGGTAATCCAGGCGGGACTCGGGAGGCCTGCTCAAAGGCAGAGGCCGTGTGAATGGGGGAAAGCAAGGATGCATCCCAAATTCCTGAGTGCAGGGTGGTGCCATTTACAGAAAAGCAAATACCGGGAGAAGAGCAGACCAGAGGTGGGAAAGTAAGGAGAGAAGAAGGCCTCAACTTCTTACATGTTTATTCCTGGTCTTTGGGTCTCTTCTCTTGCTTATGTCTGAATTTTTCAGGGCAGGAATGAAATCTTTTGAATATGAGATGAGCTATCTTGGAATAACAATGTAGAATTTGCTGGTGCTTAAGCAACATTCTACAGAAGAATGGCCATAGGAAAAACAAAAAAGTGAGATGGGGAACTATCTGAGTTTAAGACACATGCCATTAGCACCCTCTGATGGGCCAGACTGAGAATACCAGGAAATTAACCAAGTTTTGTCCTCTCCCCGCCTCCTTTACAAATTTATATTCTTAGGACTGGCCTTAAGTGTAGCCCAGGGTAAGTAGCTAAGTGACCACAATAATACAGTGTTAAAAGGCAATTTTCAAGAGAGTAAAATCATAACTCATACAAATGAGGGAACTAGTAAGATGTTAAGCTGGTTCAAAAGAGAATCTGAAGACACACATATATAAGGCATTTAAGAATGCTGAAATGAATTTGCTGATAGATGTATATATTGATAGTTGGTCAATATCTACAGGGCCTAAAATATAATTCTTAGATTATCTTTCCACAGGGTGGAAATCAATTGCATCTCACTGGACAAAATTCATTTGTCTCTAAGAATCATT